ATGATAGAGTCCGCCAAGAAGACATAACAATTTTAAATGTGTACATTTAATAACACAGTTTCAAAATATATGGAATAAAAACTCACATAACTAAAGTAAGAAATACACAAATCCACAATTAAATTGGAGATTTTAAGAATCTAAATCTGAAAAGCACTATCAACCAACTTGACCTCATTAATATTCTATTTTTATCACTAAATACACTCAATGAACTTTAGTTCCAGGTTTATTGAGGTATAGCTCTATCCAATAAAATCCAACCATTATAACTGTTCGGTCTGATGAAATTTGATAACTATACACAATTGTATAGCCACCATCACCATCGATAGAACACTTCTATCACCCTAAAAATATCCTCATACTGCTTTCAGTTGAACCTGTCTTTTGACCTCCATTGCCTGACAACCACTGATCTACTTTTTGTTACTAAGTTTCGCCACTTGTAACACTTCATATAATCATACAGTGTGTAGTTCTTTCATCTAGTGTAGTGTTTTTGACATTTATCTCTATTGTTGAATGTATCAATATTCCAAATTATAGGTTTGGAATTTGTTTATCCATTCACTGGTTAATGAACATTTGGATTTTTCTAGTTTGCAACTATGACAAATAATGCTACTACAAATATTTATATGGTCTTTAATGTGAGTATGTTTTCATTTCACTTGAGTGAACACCAAGGTGAGAGGGATTATTTGATTATGTATTAAGTGGTTATTCAAGATTCTCAGATCCTGATGTATTGTTTTCCAAAGTGGTTGTATTTTTTTTTATTCCTGCCAGCAATCTATAAGACTTCCAGTTGCTCTAGATCTCGCCAACATTTGATATTATCATCTTTTAAACTTTGTTATTTTAGTGGGTATATAGTGATTTCATATTGTGTTTTCAATTTGTATTTCCCCGCTCACTTGTAATGTTGAGCATTTTTATGTGCTTATTGGCCATCTGTGTGTCTCTTTTTGTGTGTGTCTTTTCAAATATTTCAATTGGTTGTTTGCCTTATTATTGAGTTGTAAGCATTTTTTAAAATATATTCTAGATACAAGTTCATTGTCAGATATGTTTTTGAGAAATATTTTCCCAGATTGTAGTAAACTTATACTTTGGAATGCATCTATTAGGAAAGAAGAAAGGTATAAAATAAACAATCCCTCACCTTAAGAAGCTAGAAAAAAAAGAGAAAAATAAACTCAAAGTAAGTAGAAGAAAGGAAATAATAAAATAAGAACAGACAAGTTCCCACTTCTAGGAAGATAGAGTAGACATAACTTTCTTTATATGTCTTGCTAAGTACAACTAAACCCCCTGGACATTACTTATAAAACAAACATAAGAAGACTCTGAAAAGTGGAGAGAAGAAAGTAGAGACTTGGGATTTTGAGACCCAAGCAACAACACAGTGGTGAGTTTACTGGGTTTTCTTTTTGCCTGCTATGCCCCAGACTTGGAGCTGAAGAAGCTGGCAACCTGGAAATGCTAACAGGAGCAGACAAACAACAACAACAACAACAACAACAACAACAACAACAACAGCAAAAAAACTCCAACACTGTCCTAACCTCCCTACTCCACCCCCCACACCATGTCAGTGACCACATGGGAAGCTTAAACTTTCACCCTATCTGGGAGCAATGAAGCACCCGCTCCCCTCCCTACTGTGGTGTTATCAGAAAAGGTCTAGTGGAGAGTCCACACTTTCGCTGTCACTACCGCCCAGCAGTAACAAGGATACCCTCTCTCCTGTAGTGTCAATGGAAGCCATGCAGGGAACAAAAACAAGACACTTCTACCCTTCCAGCCAGGCAGGTGTCACTAGAGGTCTAATGAGAAGCTGGAACTCCCACTACTTTTCAGCAGTAATGAGAACCCCCGCCTCAGATAGTAATGGAGGCTAAGGTGGGAAACCTGGACTTCTACTTCCACTGGTAGCAATGAAGCAGCATCTCAACTTCCCTTGCCAGAGTGCTGACAGAAATTAGCTAAAACAGAAGGTTTAAATAAGAGCCAAAGTCTTATACTATAATACCCAAAATGTCCATGTTCTAAACAAAATTCTCTCATCATATGAAGAACCAGGAAGGTCTCAAACCAAATTTGAAAAGACAATAGATGCCAAATACCAAGATGATGGTGATAGAGATGTTAGAATTATTTTACAAAGATTTTAAAGCAGCCATTATGAAAATGCTCCAACAAGCAATCACAAACACACTTGAAACAAATGAAAAAAGTAGAAAACCTCAACAAAGAAATAGAAGATATAAAAAAAGAACAAAAACTTTCCAAATTTGGTAAAATAAATTAATTAATTAATTAATCTGCAGACCCAAGAAGCTGAGTGAACTCCAAACAGGATAAATCAAAGGAATCCAGACCAAGACATATCATAGTCCAGCTTCTGAAAACTAAAGACAAGGAAAAAAAATCTTGAAAGCAGCAAAATAGAAATGAATCTTACTGATACAGAAAAAACAATTCAAGTGATAGCAGATTTCTCACTGAGACTATGGAGGCCAGAAAGAAGGTGCACAACATTTTTCAAGAAAAGACCAGAATTCTATATCCAGTGAAAATATCCTTCAGGAATGAAAGGCAAATCATGACCTTTTCAGCTGAAGGAAAACTAAGAGAATCTGTTGCCAGTAGATCTATCCTGAAAGAATGACTAAAGAAAGTTCTTTGACAGAAAGGATATGATGAACAAAGGAATACTGGGACATCAGGAAGGAAGAAAGAACACAATGAACAAAAATACAGGTAAATGCAATAGCCTCTCACTCCTCTTGAATTTTCTAAATTATGTTTGACAATTGAAGCAAAAATTACACCACTGTCTGATGTGGTTCTAGAGGCAAGTAAAGAAAATGTATGAAAACAATGTATGTATGAAAACAATAATATTTTAAACAGAGTAAGGTAAAGAGACATGAGATAAGTAAGGTTTCTCCACTTCACTGGGATTGATAAAATGACAATACCAGTAGACTATGACAAGTTACGCATATACAATGTAATACCTGGGGTAAGAACTAAAAAAGCCATACAAACAACAAACCACTCAATTGAAAAATGGGCAAAGGACTTGGATAGACATTTCTCCAAAGAAGATATACAGGTGGCCAATAAGCACATCAAAATATGCTATACATCGATAATCATTAGGGAAGTGCACATCAAAATCACAGTGAGATACCTCTTCACGCCTATTAGGGTAGCTATTAAAAAAAAAAAAAAAAACACCCAGAAAATAAGTGTTGATGAGGATGTGGTGAAATTGGAAGCTTTGTGCACTGTTGATGGGAATGGAAAAAGGTACAGCGTGGGTGGAAAACAGTATGGCCATTTTTCAAAAAAAAACCCTGTAGAATTACCATATTGTCCAGCAATTCCACTTCCAGGTATATGCCCCAAAGAATTGAAAGCAGGGACTTAGACATATATTTGTACAGCCCTGTTACAGCAGCACTATTCACAACTGCCAAAAGGTGGAAACAACCCAATGTCTATCAACAAATGAGTGGGTTAACAAAATACAGTATAGACATACAGTGGAATATTACTCAGTCTTAAAAAGGAAAGAAATCCTGACACAGGCTACAACATGGATGAACCTTGAAGACATTATGCTAAGTGAAACAAGCTAGTCACGAAACAACAGATACTCTATGATACCACTTATAGGAGGTACCTAGATTAATCAGATCAATAGAGACAGAAAGTAGAATGGGATTTCCAGAGGCTGCCGGAGGAGAGAGTGGGGCTATTTTGGAATGGATACAGAGTTTCAAAACTATAAAACTTATAGAAAAAAAACAAAACATAAGAAATTCTTTTGGATCTAGGGCTATGCAAATAGCTTAACCCCAAAAGCATGAGCCAAAGGAAAATTTGATAAATTTGACTTCATTGAAATTAAAAATGTCTGCTCTGTGAAAGACTGTTAAGAGGGTGAAAAGCTACAGACTGGGAGAAATATTTGCAAATAATGTATCTGACAAAGGACTAATAAAAATTTTTACAACTCGAGAGCAAAAAGCCAAATAATCCAATTAGAAAATGGGTAAACGATAGGAAGAGATATCACCAAAAAGGATATACGGATGGCAAATTAGCACATGAAAAGATGTTCAATGTCAGCAAGCATTAGGGAAATAAAAATTAATTATATTATAGATATAAATTATACAATGAGATATCACTACACCCCTCTCAGAATGGTTAAAATACAAAATAGTGACCCCACCAAATGCTGGCAAGGATGTGGAGAAACTGGATTATTTATACGTTGCTGATGGCATTGTAAAATGGTACAACCACTTTGGAAAACGGTTTGACAGTTTCTTAAAAAATTCAGCATGCAACCCCACAACTGCGCCCCGGCACGTTTGTCCAGAGGGAACGATGAGGCTCCTCCGCTCTCCAGCCTGCAGGTGACTCACGCCCCTTAGAAGTAAGAATAACCCCGTCAACAGCAATAGCAGCTCGCGCCGAGCCTCGCTCCCGTATCTCATCTAAACACCCTGAGCACCCTCGTGTCTAGCAGAGACCTCGCCGTCGCTCCGCCGTCAGGCTCAGGCTGTTGCTCAAGGCCGCGCAGATAGCACCGTGGCGGACAGAGCCAGGATTTGAACCCAGGCAGCACTAGCAAGCGCCTTAGTACTCACACTGTCATCCGTTATCGGCCTCTCGGCAGGCGGGCGAACAGCGGCCGGAGAGGTTAAGCCGGTTGCCCCGTCCCCGCATCCGGGAAGGCGCCAGGCTTGAACCCAAGGCCACGCTGTCCTTGGCGGGCTGGGGTCCCGCGTCCCTCGCTCTTGCGGCTAACTTTGCCCAGCTTCCCCGGGCCCCTCTCCGCCGCCCCAGGGGCGCGGGCACCACCCTGTCGTCGGGAGCAGCAGGGAGAGGGCGGGGTCCCGAGCGCGGTCGCCTCCCCGGACCCTCCCCCCGGCTTTAAGCGCGCGCCGGGCCGGGCGGGGCAGTACCCGGGGCCGGCTCGGCCGGGCGATCGCGCTGATGGCGGCGCTGGCGGCGGCGGCCAAGAAGGTGTGGAGCGTGCGGCGGCGGCTGGTGCTGCTGCTCACGCCGCTCGCGCTGCTGCCGGTGGTCTTCTTCCTCCCGCCCAAGGTAACGCTCCTCTGCCCGTGGGCCCCCGGCCCGCCCCGGCGGGACCCTCTTCTCGCCAGCCGCCGGGGTCCCGGTCTAGACAGGCTTCCCGGGACCCTCCTCTCCTCCGCTTGAACTTGCCTCGGGACGGCTGTGAACGCCGGACTCCTCTTTCCCCTCCCCGCTGCTCCTTGGAGCCTGAGTGTCACCCAGCCTCCTGGATCTTCTCGCTTAAGTGGGAATGATTTCTCTTCTGAGCTCTAACTAGGTGCTTGGTGCTGTGTTGCACATTTCGCTTGACAGTCGCAAGGAACACAAAACGAGTGCTAAACTGTGTGACCTGGGGCAAGTCCCTTAACCTCTCTGAACTTCAGTTTACTCATATGTAAAAATAGGGGTAATGATAGTGCCAACCCACAGGGTAGTGGTGAATATAAATGAGGCGTTATATGTAAATCTCCTAGAACTAAGCCTGGTACACAGTAAGTGCCTAATAAGCACTGGCTGGTCTTTTTCCGCACCCGGCCCTTCCATGATGGGGACAGCCGAGATTCCGTGAGTGCTTACCAGGGCAAGGCTTTTTGCCTTTTGGGCATCACCCACCTTATTTAATCCTTTCGATGCCCCCCAGAGGGGGAGAATTATTTACCCCATTTCCCACAGGAGAAAACCGATGCTCAGAGAGAGGAAGTGACTTGCTCAGAGTCACACAGCAAGTGACTGAGGGAATCCAATGCCGGTCTTTTCAGAATCCAGAGCCCGAGCTGTTTCCAGACTCCGGAAGAAGGTGACCCCTGTGAGATCAAAGGCTGCGGGGGGCTGGAGGGAGATGGCACTACAGTTCCCTGTGGGTCCCTCACCTGTCCCCAGCCCACCGGGCATGGTGAGCAAGCGCTAGGCTTGCGAGACAAGGCTATCTCCAGGAAGTTGCTTCCCCGTCCCTCACTGAGATATTCAACGTTCACCGAAGTAAAAGTGAAAAGAAGGTGTAATTTAGTGGTGTGTGACCCGGCACCCATCGGCTGAGACCAGGAGGAGCTGCCTGGAGGCAGGAGCCCTCCCTGGGCACAGGGAGTAGGGAGGTGGTATCAGATGGTTCTGAGGAGACTCAGAGCCAATACACAGCAAGTTCTTTAGTGGAATTATCTAAGTGATCAGACTTTCTTAACACGGAAGGGAAAAAGCACTAAATGATGGAATAAGAGGTAGGTCACCTTTTCAAACACCAGCCCATCCCGGCCACTTGCTGACTGCAGACCTTGGACCAACCTCCTTTCTTCTTTGGGTCTCAATTTTCTTCTCTGTAAAATGGAGCGATCACTGCGCTAGCTTCTGGGATTGGCGAGAGGGGTCGAGCAAGGCTTTGGGGAACACAGGCGGTGGAAGGACGGGTGGATCAGCCTTGACCGACGGTTGTCTCGGAGCCCCAGGCAGAGCTCCAGGGAAGAAGAAATGAAACACACAAGGTCTCTATCCGCAACAGGGGTTTGGATAGATTCTGCTGTTCTGGCATCTAGCAAGGGCGTGAACCCAGGAGCAGATCCGAGCGTTATAGGGCCTATTTGAGGGGGTCTCTTTAAGAGAAAGACACCGATTTACAAATACAAACTCCAATTCAGGGCTTGGGAGAGGCTCTGAAGTTTAAGTTTCATCAGCTTCGCAGGGAATTGTCTTCCATCTGTCCCCCAATGCGCACGACTGGGTGGACGGAGGAAGGGAGAGAGAACAGTGAGTGCCCGTGTGGTGCGCCCCCTGCGACTGTGCCAAGCTGATGAGGAAGGCATTTTGTCGCCTGCTTAGCTCTTTCTCTGGGCGAAGCACCGTGCTAAGAGCCTGTCAGGAGTTGCCCATATAATGTCCACGAAGACCAGGGCGGCAGCTGCTATTTGCATCCCTATTTGACAGGGGAGGAAATGGAAACTCAGCAAGGTTAGGTGACTTGCCCAAGGTCACACAGCAGGTACAAAGTCAGAATCCAGAGTCTACACTGCTAATGGCTGTACCCGGTATGCTCTCTTTAGTTATAATTCCGTAAAACCCACTTCTCGTTCCCTACAGTTCCCTCGTGGGGACCCTCTGTGTGGCTCTACCTGTCACTGCCTTTTTCAGTGGCTGATAAGCCAGGGCCTCCTCCCAGGAGGCAGATCTGGCTGCTTGGAGCTATTGGCATGCCCGAAGCCCCTTCCCCCATATAGCAATATTCATATAATTATCATTGTTATGTCCTCTGATATTAAGAACTGACATGTCTCTCAATCTAATGTACAATATGAATAAAATGCATCCTTAGAAAACATTGCGAGTTTTGTTGATCTGTGACATACATTTAAAGCAAACACAGTGGGTTTGCTATGCACACAGAGCTTCAAGACAATTCTTGTAATCTTAACCAGTCACTCCCTGTGACAGCCTCCCCAAACAAAGGCTGGTGGTGTAACCTAAAAACATGCTTGCTATGCAAATGTGGCTTCAAGACAGATGTCCTCAGCGTCCACCCCCATCCCCAGCATCGATTGCCACTTCTAAGCCTCTTCCATGTGAAAAATCTGGAGCCACCAATGCAGGTTGCATCGTACCTATGGGTTCCTAAAAACTTTTGTGAAGTTGCAGATATCCGATCAGGAAAGAAGTTGGAGATGCTTGGTCGTTTGCCATTTGCTGGGTGGTTGAGTGAGGGACAGCACCTCGTTGGGGCCTGGTTTTCCAGTCTGATGACATCCCCAGGCCGCTGCTGCTCTGATGTCCTGGGAGTCTGTGTGGTTGAGAGGGTTGGTCCTCATGCATCTGGTGACTGGTGAGCCGGTCTGCGGGGAGGCTGCAGTCAATCCACGAAGCGGATCTGGGAGGAACAATTCTTACATTATGTCGCCTGGCTCAGGAACGCTGTCAGCAGGGGTGAAAAGGAGTGGGCTGCCGCTCTGGAATGCAGTGGCTGCCATTCCCAGTGCCACCGGGGATCCTGGCCCGTGCTGTGAAGAGTGACGGAGGCTCAGGAAGGCAGGGTGCTGTCTGGGGGGCCACCTCAAAGTTTTCCAAGAATGGCCATCTTGGGGGCTGGAGGTTTGGGGAGTGGTCTTAGACAGCCAGTGGCTACAGATGGGGCTGTTATAACAGGCTTTGCAAAGAAGGACCAGCCCCGTATGTTTGCAGAGAAGTCTTGCCCCCTTTCCCATCTTGTACCCACCAGAGCAAATTAAGCTATACTGACAATCTGGCCAAGATGAGTTCTTAACAGTGGGTGCTCATAGGTGATTCTAAAGATGTTTGAGGAGGAAGAGTTTGGGGATATTCTAGGCAGCGTTGCTACAGAGTGTTGTGCAGGCTGTGCACTGCACAAGGGGTCTTGAGGAGGCAAGTGAGGCTGAACCAACCCGAATTCCACATGCCGAGCTGTGCACCCTGGCGCAGGATTGGATCCACTTGAGGAACGGCCTCTTTTTCTAAGTTGCACAAAGGTGTCACATGGGCTAGCCGCAGACTTGTTCTGGGGCGGTAATCTTTTAAGGGGATGGTAGGACACCTGTAAGATCAGAGACCCACTTTCTTGCCTTTGCCTAATCATGGGCAGGTGGGTGACCAGGAAAACAGTCCTTTCGCTCCCAGTTTGGAGGCTTTGGCATCAGAACTGGATTCTCATTCCACATACTTGCTCTGTGACTTTGGGCATGTCATTTTACTTCTCTGGGCCTCAGTTTCTTCACTTAGAATATGACCATAATATCACATTCCTTCCTGGTTGTGTTTGGGCTCAATGAAATAACACATTATGCCTGCACTATAAATTCGTACTTTTTTACTCAATGCCCAAGGTATATTTTAGCTCTCCCAATTTGCAGATGAGAAAACTGAGGCTCAGAGAAGCTAAATGATGGAAAGAATATGGGCCTTAGAACTGGGTACACCTAGGTTTGGGTCTTGGCTTTGAAACCATAAAAGAGGGGACCCTGGGTTGCAGACTTTGAATTTCTGAGCCTCGGTTTCCTCGTTCATGATGTGGGGAGGACTCACACCCTCCCAAAGGGCTGTTATGAAAATTAAGAGAAGATACAAAAGTCTGGCACAGCGTCCGGGATATAGTGGGAGTTTATAATAACAGCAATAGCCACACATTTTCCCCTGCGTTTGCCAAATGCTTTTTTATATGCTATTTACATTGTAGCTAATTTACTCTTCACACCGGCCTTAAGAAGTAGCAACAATGATCGTCCCCATTTTTTACAGATGTGGCAAGTGAGGCAAAGAGAAGTTAAGTAATGTTCCTGAGGTCACACAGCTACTAAATATTACTTTGATCGCTCTTCCCCTTCTCTTGGTCCTGGATTTTGGAAGAGAGTAGGCCAGCGTTCAGAAAGTCTTTCCCTAACAAAAGTCTCTCAGAAAACACCTGCGAGTCAATCCCTGTGGATTGAACTCGTTCTCTGGCTAGACACTACCCAGTGCTTTTAACATCTCATTGAGCCTCAGAGAGCAGAGACAGGGAATTTGCCCATGTGCACCCCAAACTGGGGTGGCATCTGGTTTGATTTCCATCATCCAGACACCACCCACTTAACTTTTGCAAGGTCTGCTCACCACTTGGTATTATTTACTTAATTACATTCCTATTATTTACCTAATGTTTTTACATTAATACCATACTGCCCTCTCCCCCCTTTTATTTATTTATTTATTTTTGAGACAGAATCTCACTGTGTTGCCCGGGCTAGAGTGTCATGGTGTCAACCTAGCTCACAGCAACCTCAAACTCCTGGGCTCAAGCGATCCTCCTGCCTCAGCCTCCCTAGTAGCTGGGACTACAGGCATGCGCCACCATGCCCGGCTAATTTTTTCTATGTACTTTTAGTTGTCCGATTAATTTCTTTGTATTTTTAGTAGAGACGGGGTCTCGCTCTTGCTCAGGCTGGTTTCTATATATTTTTAGTTGTCCGATTCATTTCTTTCTATTTTTAGTAGAGACGGGGTCTCGCTCTTGCTCAGGCTGGTTTCGAACTCCTGAGCTCAAACAATCCGCCCGTCTCTGA